TTGAATGGGGTAAAAAAATTTTAGAGGAGACTGCGGACAGCATTCGTCACCTGAAGGCGTATTCGCTCAGCTCGACGAGCGTCGAAGTTCGATGGGATCCGCCGTTGAACAACGAACCGATCAACTATTACCGACTGTTCTATGCTAGAGCGATGCCGGACGTGGATGGTGGAAGTCGTTCGGCGAAGAACGACGCTGGCGACAACGAAGACGAAGACGAATACGAAGAAATCGAAACACAGGTTGCCTAGCGCCATTTGCCATTTTGCTCATGTTCGGTATTATGCTTTCGTCGCGTTGCGTTCAGTGGCCTTTGTCGCATCTTTTTCTTCTCATTTTCCTCATTCTCGTTCTCTTTACATACAACAACAGGCAAACTGACGATGTCCTCAAGAAACTGGAACAAACAAGAATCTTATTCAAATGATTCGCATCGAACTGCGGGATTGCTGAAAAGCATTACGTAATTCAGGGGTTAAGCACCTAATTGACACGAAACTTCAAAAAAGCACTTACGGCTCAGGCGTTGCATTTCTATCACGGATCACTGTCGTCACGTATCAGCTGATTTACATTTTGAACAGGGTAGTGAAGCACTTAAGGCGGTTGACAAATTTAAGTATCGTATTCAGCGATGATATCGTAACACGATTAAATAGAAGGATCACCATTGCCTCGAGTGCTTTTGGAAGTCTGTCCAATAATTGGACTGAGTATCTCTGTTCACATAAACCGACCTCTACCTTGCTTCTGTCAGACCACTGTTGTTGTGCGGAGCAGAGACAGTTATTCAGGGAAAAGAGCCAGAGAGACAGTTGAACAGCGCACAGTAGTATTGGCTTCGATGCATCAAAGGGGCTAAGTGGCATACTCACGTAAGGAATTACCATCCTCTTCCAGCAGAGGTAACCTCTAAAAGTAGTGGTTAAGAAAATGAGGTTAATCCTGTTAGACAAACTGGCTGAGCGTTCACCATTGTCTCCAACGAATTGAGAGAAATTTTTCGTGTTGGAACCAAAACACCAAACGTCTACCAGGAGACTAGCACGGAAAAGCGTGTAGCAAACAGGTCTGCTTTTGGAGAGAAATATATCCTTCTATTATACAATGATCAGTATCTTAGAGCAAAGCTGTCTGTACAGCGGACATCACAAACCAGAGACGTTCTGCTTATGCAAACAGCTGAAGGTGATGGTCTCAACAAACACAAGCACACGATTCGCCTTTCTACCGTTAATACCAAAAAGATTATGATAACAACGATGCCAACCATCACTGAATTTTGCGGCAGTCGTCGTCTGAAGTGTACTGAGAACTGAAATAATCTCTGAGTTATTCGTATCTTCGATTGACTAAATGAGACGAAATGAGGTTGTAAGATGCGATGAAATGTTATGCGAAGAAATTTTCACCAAAGGCGACAACACAAGCGCAGTGAAGTTTCTTCCCTAACATGTTGTGGTCTTTTCAGAACTTTCCATATATTTTGTTTTGATTAGCGGCCTTCTGTGGATAGTTGCTTAGAAAACCTGTGATTTTCGCGAAGTATATGTATATAATACAGTGAAATATTACCGAATGAAGAGGAACCGGCTTTGTGGAGTTTGAACTCACTGTCACCTTCAACTGTTCCATTTAAACTGTTTCATGATAATCCATGAGAAACTACAGAAAAATCGGTGTTTAGACGGATAGTTATAATCTTATGGCAAATCTACTGTAAGCAGGTGATATGCAAGCGTTGCAGCCTGTAGCTTAAGCGCAATAACGTGTAGAAATGGTCACACTCGCAGCATGCACTTTATAAGTTCATACCGGCCCTAACGAAAACTTAAGTACACGTGAAATAAACGCTACGTGAACTGTCGGCTACAGTGAATTGTAGCAATTCAGCCGCTTTTGCCTACCCCGGTTTCTTTACGGAACAGACTGGCAGACCATCAGACCTAGGTTTACCGAATCTACCAGTAGCTGAAGCCACTATGGCAAGACGAGAAAAAATACCGCGTGCTAACTACTGTCGGCGATCATGCATCTCGTCATCAAGATCGTTACTCTAACGGCCTTTGGTTTCAAACAGTGACGGTGTCCAACTATCCCTTATCAGCAAGCCTGTCTTTCTCTGTGCATGTGTTCCATTGTCTGCCTTTATATTCCCTCCAGTAGGGCAACGATGGACTCCATTGTAAATACTTGCAGCAGCTGTGAAAACGTTTGACTGGAGTTTCTTTTATAGTCCCGCAATATATAACTAAAAAATGGGGTTTTGCTACTGTCACCAAGAAACGGAAATTGGCAGCATTTAAACTTTGATGCGGTGCTTGTTTTCGTGTCACCTCTTATCCAATGGCTGATCGGCTTTAAGACGAGGCGCTTCTTGATATGTCGTGTTGTTTTAATCATTAGTTTAAACCTTTATGTAATGGATTACTTCATGAAATTTTAGTTGGACAGCACATCGTACACCCTCCCTGGGCTCGAGGAGTACGTCGAGTATCAGTTTCGAGTCGAGGTGCTGTACAAAAACGGCCGAGCTGTGTCTTCATCTCTGGTTCTCGCGCGAACCCTGTCTGACCGGCCGTCTGCCGCGCCTCAAAATGTCACCGTCGTTCCTGTAAACATCGACGTAATCAATCTACCGTTTCTACGTCACTGTAAACCTTCAGCGTGTTTTTTTGCAGACCATTGTGCTCAGGTGGGCACCACCCCCAGACAAAGAGTGCAACGGCCCAATAACGGGTTACAAAATCAGATACAAGCAAAAAGATCCACATGTGCGCGGTTTCACGATTCAGATAGATGGTTCAAAGCAGGAGCATCTGATTGGAAGTAAGTTTTTCATGCGTGCATTAATTTGTGTTGTTCGATGTATGGGACGCTAAAACTGGTAAGTCGAGTAACGTTTTCTGCCACTTTCATGTTTCTCTTCTTTTTTATAGCCTGTGTTAGAGAGTGTCTGTGAAATAATCGTTCTGAAAGTTCATTGGTCTTAATCCGTAAACAGTATCAGGAGTCCTGCTTTTCAGCATCAGTGGCAAACGGATATGTAAATTAAGTAACAATAGCCCTAGAAGGTATAAAATTGCCGCAGACTCGCTGCTGGAGGTCAACCACTAGTTTCCGTCTTGTCTAGTATTTTTAAATCTTTTGAGCATCCCGAAATCATGAGCACCAGTCGGTAACTGAATGAGCAGAAAGAGTTTCAGCATGTTAATTAACTCCGTCTCGATGATTTCGATTATTCATAAACCATAAACTTCGTTTTTAAGGTCAAATGTTTGTTGTTTCATCCAGAGGTATTTACGAACGCCCCCCCTCCCCCCAAACTCCTAAAAATTGTTCTAAATTCAAACTTGTGATAATTGTATTCGATTCCTAGACAGGTTCGCAGCTGAGGTGGCGAATCAGTTTCTG